GAGTGCCTTCCTAAGCTATATAAACGCAATGGGCTTTCAAAAAAGCTAATGAAATCTCGATTTATAAAATGCACGGATAAGAAAATCTCTGTGAAGTAGAATTAAAATCGCAGATCCGGATGTGCTTATTTACAATTAAATTGTATCTTAAATCACACAAATATACTTTTATGTCTGTGTGCAACATTCAAACTATTTATTTCTGTGAATTTTGTTCAACCAACAAAAATTTCTGCTTCAATAAAACTATATATTTCAAAGCAGGCGAGCTCGTATGCATTACTTAAGACCCAATGACTTTTGATATGTATTATTGAATATTGGGAAGGTATATATTTATCCACCCTTAAACTAATACGACAGTTAAAAGGGTTGTTAATTTTAATTCGAACATATGAATATTTTTATGGGGATGGGAATTACACGAGTTCTGTTTTCACCTTATATCTATAAGGCACGGCGAACATTAGATAAGGAGATAATCGTCATGTTAAACTGACTAATTAACTAAAATCACTTCTAACGTTTAAATAATTGGGTTTAGGAGTAATGTTGGAATTGCCGTATTGACGGCAATCAATATTAGATTTCAACTTATTTTAAAGAATTGCAAAAAGGGAATAGCTTTTTCTAGTATTGATCAATACATCTTCGCGTTTCATCGCCCGATATATACATTGCACTCAAAGATAGTGTCGCAAGCCGTGCGCACAATTGCGTCGTTTTAATGATATCGTCGTTTCAATCATGTCGTCACTATCTCGCTAGCGTGTCTTTGGTGGATGCGCCGAGGACAAAAGAGGCATTTTCATTACTGACGAGTCATAACATTTAGATTTGGATTGCTGCCTTTATAAAGAGCTATATTTCGTTAACGAAAAAAAAGGTTCGATATCGTAACTTTCGCAAAATATTTATCGCCGCCATCATTAAAATTTACGACTGACATTTTTTTCTATCGAATTTTAACAGTCTATATGTCCTGCACTCCAGATGTCTGTTCATTAATGCAGATTTATAAGGTTATCAGTCACAAGCACTATATCACCGGCAGTCATTAGACCTCGTAAAAAGCAATCAATATTTGACCTCAGCTCTAGTATAGAAGATAAAAACTAAGACCTTTTTAATATTCAGGATGTCAAGAGTTATTTACACATACTAGCTTCATACACTTTACCCCGGAATAAATTTCAACCCTCCTGAGCTTATAATTCACCACTCACAAGAACAATTCACACTGAAACACGCAAACGAGTAAAATGAGTCACTTATTTAGCGCTGATTATCAACTCAGTGTTGTATTTGGTCTTCCTCTACTACGCCGTTTGCACACCTCCCACACGGCGTCGTTATCCCTTTGTTGCGAGGTAAATAATTTCTTTCACAAATAGGCTGATAAAAGGGTTGCTAACAATTTTCAACCAGCTTCGCAATGTTGTCAGCCTTAATTTTTCTCGTGAGCAGATCAAGTTCGTTATGATAACAGTGCAGTTACTGAGGCTGAAAGCATTGTGAAGCAGGACGATAATAGACCTTTTCCGAAAAGCGTTCTGCTCACACGCGAGCGCGCGATGCCAAGCGGCGGAAGTCGGCACGAAAAATAGAGGGAATTCGGAAGGAGGCTGTGGATCAGCGAGTGAACACGTAATTGCAGCATATATATAATTTTATTACACAAAAAAAAGAAAGTGGTCGGAAAGAAAAACACGACGTTTGGGTGGACGCCACGGATGCCCCTCTTTAAAGTCGCTTTGGGCACGCGCCGCAGCTCAGAGAGCGAAGAAACTGGTAGCGTAGCTCCCATTATCGAGTGGTAGCGCAGGTAGGTCACTTCCTCGATTTTTAGTTTGTGCAGCCGCCGCCTGATGCTGTCGGTATGTGGAAAAGGTCCATTGTGTTAGCAACCTTTCGAGTATTTTATCTAAGAAACAGTTGATTCACCTAGCAACAAAAAAGAAAATAGCGAAGCGTAGTAGATCTGCAAACTATGTAGAAGAAAACCAAATACAACTCTGAGTTGGTAGTCAGCGCAGAATGAGTGTTCATTTTTGACTGCTGTGCGTGTTGAATGTGAACTGTCCTTGTGCGGCTGTAAATTATAATTATGAATAGCCAACTCGCCAAATCCTTCATCCTAAGAAATCTCCAGAGCTGTCAAGGCTTACAAACTCCTAAGTATGCAACGTATGAACTAAATCTAAACTCACGATGTATTTGATATTGCACAAATGCTAGATATCAAATCCTAATAAATCGCTGCAGGGTCCGCTTTCAATGTCAGAGTTTCAGCAAATAAAGCGCAGAACGCAGTGTCGTTGCATTACATGATGTCCTGTTTGATTTGAAAACTAACACCTAAAGTACGGCAAAAGGACAATATAGCCATGAACCTATAAAAGTATTCATGCACGATTACAAAATTTTGTAAAACATGCTTACGGGAGAGGAAATGCTGGTTCACGCACTGCCCCGAGTCCGACCGCGTGCGAACTTCCACGGCTTGTGGCGTTAATCCTTTTACGGGTTGCTTTGGCAACAGCTTCGTCGGCTCCAACAAAACCAATTTAACCCCGTCTTTTTTTTTTTTTTTTGGCCGACGCAGTTGTTGCCGTAGCAACCCCACTTGGTCGGGCTCACGCAAGTGTGTGGACCAACTTTAACACTAGATCCTCTCAATGAAAGGTCTATTTTCGATTTACCGACTTGTCGTATACCACACTGATGAAGAGAAAAGTAACTGTCTCGTATTATTTTCAATGAATCAGCTGTGCTGTTTTCTTTTTTTTACCTAGATGGAAATGTTAGTACACTTTCTGTTTTCCTATAACTAAAATTAACGTAAACATAGAGTATAAAACTTCGTGAAATCATAGTGATGTTGCAACGCATAATTTGTTACTACATATCGTGCTAGGAGATGCCATCTAACACGACGAGAGTCATTGACGATTAAGAAACGCAGGACGCGGAATCTTGTTTTCACGCTACTAGCTTCGTTATTAGTTGTTTGTGTCGTCCAAGGCCACAATCTAATTGGTTACTTAAAACTTGTTGTTAGCCTAGTCGGTTCATGTGCAGTCCAGAAGTTTTTTTGCGCGACACAAGGTACAATCACAAGGGACACGGACAAGCGCACATGAAGGAGTCTAGAAGTTTTTGCGCTTGTCCGTGTCCACTCTCTAGTGATTGTCCCTTGTGTTGCGGAAAAACTTCTAGACTCCTAATTGGTTACGAAGAGATAATATAATGCCCATTACTCTCCCCACGTTTCTTACGCTGCTAATAACTACGGGTATTGACGCAACGCTCGAGGGTTGGAAATGCTCTACCAAAACGCTTAATGAGGAGCAAAAAGCGGATCAAGTTGATCTTGTGCCTATTAGAGTGCTCGCCAGTCTGCGCGACAAACGTTTGGTAGTATCTTTATCCGAGACTGACCAAAGGAATGTCGCCGAGAACTCTGATAGAAATTTGTCTTGAATTGGAAAGTGAAGCGTTCGTGGGAATGTAGCCCATGTATTGCAACGCTCACATTAAGGTAGCCAAGGTATAAATAGATTTAAAAAAATACATATCAGGTGAGAAACTATGTCTAAGAAGTTTTTCCCAGCGCTGTTCACTCGAACATCATCAACAAACTGCGTTGTGCCTTTTGCTAGTTGTGAAGTTTCGCGTCCTTCATAACTGCGTGAACAAAGTTACGAGAAGTGTCTCAAGGTTTGTGACACCGATTAATAAACAAACGAGTTGAGACGTTGATGCCGGGCTACTGTAAATAGAAACCTTAAAACGTATTCGATGTTTCCTCATAAATTTCGCTTAAGGATAGTTTATTTGTACCATTCTACTCATATGGTCTTCTAAAGTGACGGTAGGAGTGCCGTACACTCTAAAAAAGGGTGTAGTCTTACACCCTTTGCCACATATACTCCACCCCAACACTTCAGTTCGAAGTACACCACCCTGACGTCGAAGTGACGGGCCCAGATTTCGGAAGAGGATCTATAACGGTGCGAAATAACTTATTAAACATGTGAAGTGCGTAGAAAAGACGAGAGGACAAAGCAGTGAGGTTTTGCAGCAGGGACAAGAAAACCCCGATCATTTTGTTGTAATCACTAACAGGGACATTAGCTTTTTTAGTAAGTTGTACCACTCGCTTATCAAGCAGCTCGTGAAAGTTGGTACCGTCAGATCAACGTCAGCACGCTGAACGTCGAACTGAAGTTTTGGGTGTAGTATATGTGGCCAAAAGTGTATTACTACTCCATTTTTTTATAGTGTATAACATACTTTTTTTTCTGGGACAATTTTATAAGATCATCGATGCTATATAAAGACAATAATGCACTCCGTGAAATAGTTTAAGGTTTAAGAAAATTTCCTTAAAAACTGTTTCTCGTGAAGTTTCATGCTGTATATATTCACAAATGTACACATTAACTATTTTACATGTTTTTATCGTTCTTCGCTCATCCTATTTGCTTATGGCAAATACCCGTTCAAATGTAAATATCTAGTAGTCGACTCCAATCAGTGCAGGATACCGTTGTCCTTTTTTTTGGTTTGTTTGTTCCTTTCTTTGATGAGATTAATTTAAACTTAACCCAATCCCGAACTTCAAGTTTTTTTTGTTTTTTTTTTCGCTTTTATTTAAAGCAATGATGCCTGTCTACTTGGCCAAGCAGGGATAACCGAGTGCGTCGGTTAAGCTATTAGTTTTGCTCGAAGAATAAAATGTTGGCATATGGGTGATTCTGAGGCGTTATTCAGCATAAAATTTATCTCATGCTTTTTGGCAACAAAAGAACAAATAAGAGCCACTTCAAACTTTATATTGGCCGAGGCACGTCGCAATGGAAGTACAGACAAGAGAGGATTATTTTTTGTACATTAGATTCTGAACAAAACAAAAAAAAAACTTTTCCACTTATGTATTTTGCGTTAGGGCCTCAATGCAAGTTAAGCCAAACGTGTAGAGATTGCTGCTTCTTTACCTGATTGCGATGGAGCCTGGAGATGTGGCACGCTGGGTCTCGTCGGATGCGGCGCAACCCTCGGACTACGGCTGCCAGACCCGAACTCCAAGCGCCGAGCTCGTCCCGGGCCACGACCGGAAAACGCGAAACGCAACACCCGAGAGGAGGACGCCGAAAAAAGGAGAGGAGGGTAGGGACGACCTTCCCATCCTTGTTCAGGGGGCTTCGTGACGTCATCGCGGCCGGATGTGACATCACATGAAGGGAGGGTGACTTTTTTCCTGCAAGTGCTGTTGCTTTTGAGGAGCCTACGTATGTGCGTGTGCATGCGTGTGTGTGTCTCTGCCAGTATGTTTCTTACTCTCGAATCCTGGGGTCTCTGGGTGTTTGAAGAGCTGTCGCTATGAGTTTTTCGTGGTGATAGGTAACGTTGAATTAAAAAGTGGGGCAAACAGGCACAAATGAGAAGGGCTCTGTCTTTTATAAGTTTCAATATTTATTTTATATCTTATGTTTTGAGTTTGAGTTAAGCTGGTTTTATCCCACCGAACGGCGGGCTTATTGTCAAAATTCTTAGGAACACTACGCGAACCCGACTTTAGCGCATTTTTGCACATCACTTCGAGAGGGTATGGGCGAGCACCAAATTTTTTCTCTTAAATATTTCCCGGAACACAAGAAGCCTTGATGATAGCCTTTTGATTCTAATCAAAGATAGAAAAACGGTGCTTGCTTGTAAGCGCTAGTAGTGCTAGGCAATGTCCTTTAGAAAGTGGTAACTATTGTTCTAATTTAGTTTTCGTAGTCTTACGGTAGCCTCTAAATATTTGCCTTTTTACTCAAATACTAGGGCTGGGCGTCGATTAGAAATTTAACCCGATTTATCGCAACTATTCAATCACTTACCTAGTCGATTAATATCTTTCCTTCATTCCCATGTACGTCTAAATGTTTTTTCAATGCACTGTTAAAAACAGTTTTTTGTAGTAGGGGGGGGGGGGTTGTTGGATATGTGATAAACGGCGCAATGTACAACTGATGATTTTAAAATCAATCTTGATGTATGGCTGAGAGCAGTCAAAAGACATCCAGACTCACCAGTTATTACTTCAGCTGCATATGCCAAACGTTCGTTGATATTTCCGGAAACAGAGAATTTCCCTGGTTGTTGAAAGTAGTCACAGATGAGCTAACCGGACACTTCCTCCAAAACAGAAGTTTATGCGGGTGCCACTTGTGGGACATGTATAAAATTTCTCCTTTTGTTTGAAGTCTCAAATTTCACCCCTACAGTTTATTTCAGGTCAAAATTTTAGCTAATGTTTGCCTTCATACAGGTCTACTGATCCACGTCTGAGTAGTGAAAGCGTTAAAATTTTACTTGTTTTTTTGTTTGTACAATTTTGACCGATTAACCGTTGAAACACTTAATCGGCGATTAAAGCATTAACTCAGTAATCGGCAGGTTTATCCATCAGGTCACCAGCCTTGGTGACCTGATGGTCACCAAGGCTTGAAATTGTTGAAAATCTTGAAATTGTTTTTAGTGATATTTTATTGGATGTCAAGAAGGCACCAAAGCAAGCTAGAGATGGGTTACGTTCCCGACACCCAAGTATAATTATTGACCCAACTTACATCATTTCTATTTTTAATCTATTACAAAGCAATTCAGACAACTTCAACGAACACCGCCAATATTCTTTTTAATTCAACAGACCTACTGAAAAATATTACAGTACTATAAAAAAAAAAAAGTTCGGCCTCCTACCTTCGAGAAGGCTCGCTTCAAACATAATTTTATTAAAGCAAAGGACAATATGAAACGCGGTGTCCTCAATGCTCGTTATCTGATATGTGACGAACGTAGGAAACATTCAAACATTTTTCCTGTTGATTGGGCGCACCAACATCTGGACGCTATATGCACTTCAGATTAGGGTGCTCCGCTCTCACACCCGACGCGAACATCGGGAATTCCTATGGTCAATGAAAACTTAGAAAATGAAGGAAGGGGCTATTTCCTAGAATATCATTGGCTGCACTGTGCAGCCAATAATAATGTGGTATTTTGCAATTATAGCATAAGAGGAATCATGAAACAAAAGCGTAAACACATTAAGCTGACTCTGTGTTTCTTAATCCGTCGTGACCGTAGATACTGTTTCGCGCTAGATAAATATAGTTTCCGAGCTCAGGCTGCCGCAGCCTGTTTGTAATTTTGTACAAACGACCGTTGTCACAGAGCGCTCGAAACCGTCAGTACGCACCCAGCCCCAATCACGTCGTTCAGCCTGAGCATCCCATCAGCTTACGTAATTACCTGATTGAACCAATCATTCGTGTGACAACTATCGCTGCCCTAATCAGTCATACCCTACCCTTCGGGGTGCTTGAGTTACCCTTTGAGTGCTAGAAACTGTGTACTGGTTATGTTCTAAGCATATACGTCCTGGTTTTGCTGGTTTTCTTTTTTTTTCTGATTTGCACGTTAGTTTCTTACATTGTAACCTTGAAGCAAGGAAAAAACAAGCACGTCATACATAGAACTAAAGTTTTAAAGCTTTTTTTGTGTCTCTTATTGCCCATGTTTTAGGGTAACCATGGCAGTCTTAAAACAACTCGCCTGCACTCTCGAGTGAGTTTAATTGGTTCATCTGGTTCTGTTTCGTTACGTTTACTCGTAGCCCTAATCTTCCGCTGTAACAATCGAATCTCAAACAACATTTTGGGCGCACACCGCCCCAAATATGAAAAAAAATCATTGAGCAGTTATTTAGCATGCGAAAACAGCCTTCTGGACGTCCCTTAGATCTGAAAGCGAACCGCAAACGCAGAATAAAATGTCTGTGTCCGCAAGTTTAAGGGGAGGGGGGGGGGGGGTACTATTCCAGTTTGTCGGGGAGAGGAAGAGGGAAAATCCCAGTAGTGAGAAGCCCACGTCTGGATTCCAGCAAGTGGGCGAACCCTATACTTCGTTCACCCCAAAGCTGACAGCGCGGCGGAAGCTGCATGCTCGTTTGGACCTATCACACGTCCATCTCTCGCCACGTGATCACGCCCCCTCCCCGCCCATACCCCCGCGCAAAGTTTTGGCGAAGAAAGGGGGGCGTCTGATTGGCCCATGCGAGCGCGTAGCTCCCGGCGCACTGTAAGCTTAAGGTTGAGCGGAGTTTAGGGGCGGCTTCTTCGCCCACCCTTCCAGCGCCCTATCGTGTTTCTGGGCAAAAGTCACCGTCAGAGAGCGGCCCACTGCGGTTGCTCTCCCAAACCCTCGACCGGGTTTCGACCCGCTTGGGGCTAAGCGCCGAAAATAGGACCGGCGCGGCTAACTTTGGCTCCGGGGACTGTCTCTACGGGGGAACGCAGCATTCGGCTTGCTTTTCTCTCCCTCCTCTGGACGGAGGATACTGAAGGAGCGACGCTGACGGGAGTAGAGCTAAAATGGAGGAGGAGAGGAGGTACCGCGCACCGCGTCTTTAGAACTCGGTTCCGAAGTGTTCTCTACAGTGTTGGGAAGCGAAGCGAAGTGGGCGTTAAGATGGCGAAATCTAGACGCGATTTGTCGCAACGTACGATACGTTAGCGATTCGCCATATACACGCGCTGAAGCCCGATCTACGGGGTAGTATTCTAGTGCGATTTAGCAGTTGCTACGTTGATCTTAAGGACGGACGGGGGGAGGGGGAGGGGACATGGTAGATGCCGCGGTGTCCGACGTTGAAACTGCGAAATCGCGAACAAAAATCGTCTTATGTGAATCACGCATGAGCTTGATTTCTGATATATCATTTACTTGGCAATGAGACGGCAGATGCCGGTGCGAAGTTGGCATGTTTGATATAGTCTCGAACACGTTAAGAAACGCAGGGCATGCCGAATCTCAATCGTCGTTTTTTGTCGCAGCCAATGAGGTTGAGGCATGAAAGAATGGCGAAGAACAAATCACGTACCCAGGGATCAGAATAGGCAACGCGTCTCTCGAGCTGTCGATGATTGTAGACCAGACTTGCGCCCATCTCAGATACTCTACTCGAGACAGGGTGTCGAATCAAACCAAAACCGGAGCAAAACCGTTATTTTTGACCTAACCAAATCTCAATTCGAATTAAGCATATGATATGCAATCCGAGCCAGAACGAATCCGTAACCTCGTATAGTATGCCAGGGTACTATTCTAGTGCCCCGGCGTACTACATTTTAATACGCCGAATTGTTTTCTTCGAAAACGATTCGGCGTATGAAAATGTGAGCCGCGCCTTGCTCCTGGGTGGCGGCGCGAAGTCAATTGAATATTCGTGACGATAACGTCAGCGGCGTACTTTTGGACTGAGCAAATGACAGTCACTTTGAAACCGCTATAGTATGATGAAACAAAGTAAAACATTTCACGTCTATGTGCAGCATAACTCGGCGACGGCGAGTCGGTGCGGTGACGTATGCGGCCCGATAGTTCGTCTGCTTCTTTTCAAGGGGTTGTGGTGACGTCAGAACGCCGAGTTCTGATTGGTTCGCAATGCAAGATAGTAGGTAAACATCAAGGCAGCCTGCGTCTGAAGTCTAGCCTTCAATCAGAGCCAGTCAGAGTTGGGCGTCTTTCTGACGTCGTCGCAACTATTGCGCAAGGAACAGACGACTTGCTCTCCGCATAGGCTAGCGCGCCGTTTACCAACAAGCCCTCACGCCAACGCGCAGTTTCCGCACAAGGTGTGCTCACTGCGTGTGTTCAGGACCCAGATTCGCCTGAAGTGGAGCATCTGCGCATGCGCCCTGCAAATAACAGCGCCACCACAGCGGAGTGACGTCAGCGCCGCGTGTTGGTCTATACACTTCTATACGTTGATTCATCTTCCGATGGACCCTGCAAATGACACGACCACCCATCGGAGCAAGGAGGTTATAATGGGCAGGAGGCGGCGTCCCTATCCCCAATGCATGGAGCGAAGTGTAACGGAAGTAGGCGTGGCTACGTGCCGCAACGAGCATTTCTTGACCAATGAGAAGCCTAGTGAGTGGGCGCCGCCATTAATTTTGGTGCAAACAACCGCGTTGCGATGACGATTCCGTGGCAACGCGACTGTGTGCACCGAAAGTAATGGCGGCACCCACTGTTATTTGAAACAGCGCTTAACGGGAGACTTTTAAACCGGTA